TAGGAGGAAGGGAGCATCTCAGCTTCCTCTGACCAAGACCATTCGACTCAGCACCCCGAAGACTACAACTTGTGAAAATTTGATTTTAGGCTTAACTTCCTCTTTAACGATCTTCCAGAGAGGAAGCTAAGATCAATGCCGAGTTAGATGTTGATAGTTTTATCTGGGAGTTAGAACGCCTAGTGATGTATGCATCGGCCGCACAAATCCTTCTAAGGTTTCATAACAATGATATTTTGGCAGTCTCTTTTCCAAATCTTGCCTAACGTACTACCGCATTTCCGCAACTAAAAGGCCGTCCTCGTATACAACGCCTTCCTCGTATACAAGGCCGGGGCAGAGGGCGATTGAAAAAATAAAAGACCGTCTCCGATTAGAAGACCGGGCCCACTAAATGAGTCTCAAACTTGTGTTAAAAACAGAAGACCGTGTTCAAACTGTGGGTAAAATTAGAAGACCGTGCTCAAACTGTGTAGAAGAAAATGGAAGAATGGGGTTAAAACTGTGTGGCGAAAAATAGAAGACCGGGGTCAAACTGGGTTGAAAGAATAAGAGACCGTCCTCGAATACAAGACCGTCCTCGATTATAAGGCCGGGTTAGGACGAGGTTGAAAAAATAGTAGACCGGCCTACTATTTGTGGAAATACGGTATATGCAGCTTTGCCACCAGGCTTTGTGCTTGTAGGCTGCTGGCACCCACATTCAGTGACCCCAATAATTTGGCACTGCTGTGAAAAGTTTAAAGAACTGATTCTGGTCCGAAAAGGCTGCGATGCAGCGTTCCTCCTTTATTCCCAATCGAACATGGTTGAACAAGCGGTCACGTGCTCCTGCGTACACCAGTCACCTGGTCACCGTGCCTGCAGGGTACAACTTACCACTTGTTTGACCTTTTTTAGATGCAGTCCTGTCACTCGAGTTGAACTCGAGTTGAACCTTGGTGTGAAAGTTGTTGCCTGCTGGCGCGTTGACCAGATGACTTGGCACGCAGGAGCACGTGATCGCTTGTTCCACCATGTTCGATTGGGAATAAAGGAGGAACGCTGCATCGCAGCTTTCTCGGACCATAACCAGTCGACTCAGCGTCCAAAAGACTACAATATATGGGCCAATCGTGGTCATCCGTGCTTTTATAAGAACGAAATGGCGCTTTTAGTGACATTTTGCATACAAATCCCCATATAGTAGGGCGCAGTCACCCAGTCTCGGTGGAAGTGCGCGAGTTCGATTGGGAATAAAGGAGGAAGGGAGCGTCTCAGCTTCCTCGGACCAAGACCATTCGACTCAGCACCCTGAAGACTACAACTGGTGAAAATTTGATTTTATAGTCTGTTTCAAAAAGATTTACAATCAGGTTTGGGTCTTAAAAAGTATGAAGATAAGGGAAATTTGGACAACAAAGTACATAGAATGGCTTGTTAGGACACGGCAAATTGTTCTGTGAAGGTTTCGGAACAATTGGACCCACCGTTAAGGAGTTAGAATTTCGGCCAGGTTTCCGGCCTTTTCCCATGGTTTACAATTTGCCCAGGAAGCCAGTATCGATTTTTTATCAAAACCCACGATTTATCCTTTCCTTTTTGGCCTTGTGGTTATGAATGCTGTCTGCTGACCATGAAGCTGTGAGTTCAAATCCCAACCTATCCTCAAGTCAAACTTTTTTTTCATTGTTTTGGTGATCAAGCTGGTACAAGACAATGAAGATGGCTGCACCAAACGACTTGTTGTTGGAGCTCGCGCTTCCTGCCGAACTAACTGACACTTGACTGGCTCACGCCATGTGAACACACCCACAACACTGCAATGGTGTGAATGAATTATAATGGAAGTCATCGCGCTGTAGCTTTTTGAGATTTATTTTAGTATTTCAAGATCGCCAATTTATTTGAATTTTAGCAGTCAACGCCGTCTTCTATCAGCGTTCACAAGCGTCTGCTTTTCTCAAAATGTCGTCGAAGTCACACGGATAGCTTTGCCAAGTCATGGCCTTGGGAATGAGTCCGTGTCGATGTCGTTTTCGTCACACGGTGAGTAAATTGCATCGCAGCTCAAAGAAACTATTTTGGTCACAAAACGGACCCATGCAGGGCAGCTCGTCAACATTTACAACACTTTCGTTTCGACATGTCCTCTCTCTGACTCCATTATTGATACGAGGAAGAACTCGTTTGTTGTAAACCAGACGTACATGACTGTGTCAACGACGTGTGTGAGTTGTCATTTTTCCTGCTTTCGCGCGGAATATTTCTTCGAGTTCACAGTGAGTTTTTCCAGGCAGCGCTCGAGTGCTCATACGGTAAGACACCAAACTCCGCGGGCGATCGCCAGGATTGTAAATCTTTTTGAAACGGACTGTAGGCTTAGCTTCCCCTTTAACTTTTCCTTTTGAAGAATACGACAACCAGGTTTATTCTTCAAACTTTGGTTGCAATCATGCTGCTGCAATTCTCACAGCATTTGTTCCAAACTGTAGCATAAAATCCAGGATTTTTGCTACGTTTCCTGCACAATTTACAGGACAATTACAAAGAAATTGTCATTGTATCTACCTGAATATGAATGCAATCCACCTGAAACTTCACCAGAAGTTGAAGAAAGGGTCATGGTTCAACACTCCAGCAAAATCTCAATTTCGCCAAAATAGCACCTAAGGTTGGTTTTGCAGAGCACTGCTCACATGTACTATAGTACTGTGTGAGTTACAAATCACTAACGTCCAGCATAGTCACAATACAACGTCTGACATCATGCCCTTCAGAATACGGTTCGTCACTCTTCATTGGCGTTATCGGTATGGGTGTGGTAAGTGCAAACTACCAGATTGAATCTGATTCACTTACAAAGTTACAGTTCGTAGAACCATAATTTCCTCTTGCAAGTATATCCATCGTCCTAGCTGCTCGATGAGCCTGCATGTCCCTGCGTCGCGCGCTAGGGGCTAGCTAGCGTGACATTTCAACACCCGTCTTGGACTTGGCGATGTCGGCAGCATTGTGGTTCACAACCGAGGCTGTCACAAAACTCTAAGCTGCTTTCAATGTTTTTACTCGGCTTCTAAAGGGAATGTTTTAGTGAATGCAGCAAATGTGATTCGCTCTCCCGTGCTAGCTCCATGAAGATTACCATCATCGATTCAGACATCATGACTGCATCAGATCAACAGCTCGTGGACGATCTTTTTGCCGACAACTGTAGGAGTTACTGTACAAGTACGACAGTGCTGGCAACTGAAATCCGACCCCCTAGCGGTGCGCTAGCCGCCTTAGCGATTCGTACGAGACGCTAGGGGGAGGGGGGTCGGATTTCAGTTGCCAGCACTGTAGTACAATGATGACTGTATGTATGTATGTGTACGTGTGACGATACATACATACAGAGCCTATGCAAATGCCAACATCGACGCATGTGCGTTGCATAGCTTCCCGCCTTTCTCGGATCGGGGTGCATGCATGCATGATGCAGCACATGCCAATCAATGCGAACATCAACGCATGTGCGTTGCACAGCTTCCCGCCAGTCTCGGATCGATCGGGCCGGGGTGCATGCATTCATGATGCAGTACGGACTCAGTACAATCATAATCATTGACCTTGTAGTTGTAGGTCTACAACAGTGCTGGCAACTGAAATTCGACCCCCTGAGCGGGCGCTCAGGGGTCGGATTTCAGTTGCCAGCACTGTACTACATGTACTAGTACTGCAACTATACTTGTTCTCTTGAAAGTGATGACGTCAAAAACGGCCAGGGAGTACTAAGTTGACATCAGATTTCTATTTTGGATCCACAAAGGTGTGACTTTGCTATTGCCTCAGTATGTGGGTGCATAGCAACCCACTCATGTCGTATGCAGGGGTGACTTTTACTTCGCCCCAGTTGTAACCCCGCCCCCAGTAGCCAAATCAGTCAGTTTCACTGGTTACATCACCTTGCTGTGAGTACAGTCCGTGCGCCAGTTCAGAAAAAGTCGTCTAAAAGTTGCACTTTTATTTTCCAGATTTGCCAGATTTCGCAGTTTTCTCAAGATATCGCGAGACGAATACTCAATGGCGTCTCCTTCGTCGTCCTTTGGTTTACGTCCCCCGTGAGTTCTTTGTCTCAGATCGTTGTCGAAATCCAACCTAATAGTTGTTCTCTGCCCTAAGTTTTGTCCGTGGCGATAACAAATATCGAGAAGTTGAGTTCTCGCTCGTCGCTTGCGTTTTCGTTATGTCGCTGATATTTTGGTTGAACATGCTATAATTTCGTGCCGTTGGTTTGTACAAGGGTTTCGCTATTTCCTGCTTATTTATTTAGAAAGAGATATTAGCCAACAGTGCATCCTCCAATTTTGGCTTGTGCAAAATATCCGACAGCGGTGGTACCAACCGTTTTGTCAACACTGTATTTTTGACACATTTTGAGACACACATGTCTTCAATTGGTGAACTTAGGAACGACCGACAGAATCGTTCAAGGGGTCCTAGTATTCTGCGATGTACCAGCCAGACCATTGTATCCGTAGACCACGAATTTATAAACAACACGAACCTCAACAGGTTGCTGGAGCTCCAAACACAAACCCTCGTAGATCAATGCATGTGCCTATACTTGTATGTACAACAGCAACAATATCAAGCCAAATACAGTACGGAGGTGGGAAAGAAATATAAATAATTCATGCAGAGAGGATGACACTACAAACACAGCACCCGAGCCAATGCAGAATTGAAGTGAAAAAATGGCATCTGCGGATGGCCTGGATACGTTGCTACTATGTACAGAACAACCGCCACAAGCTATGACACATAAAGTCTTGTACCTTCATTCACGGCGGACGCATGGAGCAAATAATACGTTTACCATACACCCGTACATACATCACGTTTTCATGCGCTTTTTTCGACAGACCCACACACGTCTGCATGTACATGTAAACGCACAGACATGTATACGTACGTACGTGCACGAACATACACACCCATAAACATGCACACACATACACACACACGCGCACATCCGCTAAAGTATGGGAGCATATGTGCACAAAGCATCACGTGATTGCATTCACAAGTTTATACAAGACAGCCAGGTAATGAATGCATACTTGTAGTTGTGTGGTAGCTGCTACAACAAAATGGAGCATTGGCTAAATATTGCAATAAGGAGAGTGTTATGATAGTCATGCAAAGGTTCTGCTGTTATCAACGAAGTGCACGCCTCTCGTGCCAAGTTCAAGATCCATTGTACTCTTCTTTGCAACATACTTCGTGCAGCTTGCATCCAATCGTAGGCATCACGAGTCAAGGCAGCAGCCACATGGACCAGTAAGATTCACTGATATTGAGGATTTGGACCAGGGTGCTGTTCCGATCAAACTTGAAATAACACCTTGTTGAACTGGGTCTTCCCCACTGGCACAGCCACCTGGTGTGGCCCTACCATTAGTGGTCTCTGCCCGTTGCCTTCATTTTATTGGTAGGGTTGTGTTTGACGAAAAGCCCACTTGACTGCCTTCCAGCATATAGCTTTCAAATGTAAGTGTGATGTATTGATATCACAGACATGCTGACGTTTGGTACATGCCTCAAGGCTAGTCAATAGAATTGAAAGTCATACATCACTTCAAGCTAGGACCACTTCAGTGGGAGAAATGAGGTGATCCACTGTTGTCCGCTGGAAGCGTTTGACCCTGTTGATCATGGTGATATCTACATAGGCATCAATACACAGCCGGAAAGTGAAGTGTGCACACACAGACTCACACACACACACACACACACACACACACACACACACACACACAGTGACACACACACACGCACACAGACACACACACACACGCACGCACACAGACACACACACACGCACGCACACACATACCAAGCAGCATAGCACCACAATTTCCACCATGTAAAGCAGCAAGTATCGCCCCCCAAGCATGTGTATGCACAGAGTACATGATTATGCCACAAGGGATTTTTTATATAATTATTTGAATGCAGGTGCACAGACCCTGGGTCATTGGCATTGGTCATGGGTTTCATATTCATGTCCTAACTATAAATTGATAAGTCAATAATAATTTTGCTCTTCTGTTTCATGCATTGTGTGTAAAATTTCAATATACAGCCAAATTGTACTAAAGTACCGTACAGCTCTGCATCAATTTTGCCAATGCTGTTGATTGTACATTGTTCACAATCGCTGCCATTTCTCATAAATAATATTGTCATGCAGTATAGTTACGAAATACACCGCCAGGATGCCACAATACAAAGATGGCTACATCTTTTCAACCAACATGCAATTATTGCGAAAAAATAAATATTTCCATAATTTCGTGCCGTTGGTTTGTACACAATTTCAGGGCTAAAATAACCTTACCCTGTCATGGCGATATCTCTGAGGAGTTGAATTCACCTAGTCTCCCTTGTGCAAAAAATTCGCTCGTGGTGCTGCCAGCTGCAATGTAATGGCAACCCAGAATAGGGTGAAAATCGAAAACGATAAATTCCTCGCCTCCCGTCCATCCAACTGCGCTGGTTGCATCAAGTACGATGTTTAGAAGACGAGTGGCATCCGACTAACGACTGGCAACATATTTCTTGAAGAAGGAAGCCCTCATTTCACCGACTGGCCTCGAGGTAGGCAACAAATCGACCAACAATTTACTGACCGGCGTCGTCATCTTTCCCTGCATAACGTCTGCATGTATGGTTCCCGCGCAGAAAATAAAAATCGGGCCAAAACAGGGTCTGGCGCACGGACTGAGTAAGACGGCTTGAAATGTGCTTGGATCCATACAAAAACTGGATCCAAGTGGATCCAATTTTTGAATTTTTGAAATTGTTGCTATGCTGTGACGTAGCACTTTCAAGCCCTATTAAACTTCGCATGCAAAAGTCAAAGGATATCGCCGAATTGTTGTCATAAATTCAAAATTTCACCCAAAATGCAAGGAAAATTCGCTTTGCTGCCATGGTAACCAATATGGTGCCAGAATTTGCCATAAATTTTATGACTACACGAATGAGGGAGTCGTAAAAAATACCGGTTTTTAACGACTCCCTGGCATGAATTTACCGTACTGCATAGCATGCGCGTAAGCCTGTAGATCTACGAAGAGCATCCATGATAACCCCAGGGGTTATGTACTCTTGCCTGTAGATCTACACTTAGACAGGTGCATGCACAATAATAGCCCAGTTATTAGCATTAAAAAGTAAAAAATACGCTCGGTATCTGTTCTTGCTACTGTGCTCTATGGCTGCCAGACCTGGACCATCTCTAGGGGTAAGCGGTATATGCTCTGGAAATGAGCAGATTATGCTCTAGCGGATGTTTGCAGAATGCTCGAGAAAACAGCCAATTATGTTTTTTATACGCTTCACTAGAAAGACCAAAAGAACATAATTATAATCGTCATGAATAAAGGACTCAGACCATTCTCATGATGTGGACTGGGAGCTTTGTGGAAGTACAGGACAATAATAATTATGCAAGAGGAATACCAAATTCACAACCAAACACTGACCTTTTTTTATCATTCCTAATCAACATAGTCGTATGTTCCTCTTGACTGGATTACACAGAACGGATATAATTATAATATATGATGCCATTTGATTTATGTTTTTGGCAGAACATTCTATTTCCGGCATATGCGAATATGTGGGTTGCCATTGTGCGGTTGACATTGCCGCGGAAATGCATATACCGGTACTTGAAGTAATAATAATAATAATCTGTCCCTGCGGGAATTTGCGGAAAAAATCCTCGAAAACTTGTGCAAGAAATTGCGGTGGAAAACAACAAAAAATGCGGCGAAAAGTTCGGAACTTGCCAGGAACTCCCGGAATTATTGGCAGAAAATTGCGGATTTGGGCCAAGTCACGAAATTTGTTGTATCCTTAGAATCGCTATTTGCGTACTGTGGAAATAAGCTACAAGCAGGATCATGGAAAGCACTGTATACTGCATGAAAAGTGCAGAAAAATGTCAAAAGAAGTGCAGAAAACAACAAAAACGCGGGAAATCGCGAAATTTGTTGCGTCCGTGGAATCGTGATTTCCAGGAGGGACAGAATAATAATAATATTAGGGAGGTTCCGGAGTACGATTTTTCGTGCCAAAATCCGTGGAGGCTCTACGGATTTTTTATACGTCGTTTTCGAGCAGTGAAAAGTTCCGGGGTACGGAACTTATGTGTTTGCCGTCATTGCCTAGGTTACGATCGCAAACACGTCACATCCCCGCGCTATGCCTTTTTATTTTGAAAATTTGTACCGAAATCAAAACTTCCCGCGAAAAATCGATGTTTCTCGTACCAAATTTGTACGCGAAAAATCTTTCTGCACCCGATGGTCGATGGCGCAAAATCTCCATACGAAATATGGTTCGTATGAAAGCCAGTCCACACGGATTCTCCGTGCCGAAAAATCGTATGGAGCACGCCTGGAAAAAATCCGTAGCGCTCAGGCATGCAGTCTCACTCGTATTTTAGCTATTTTTCTGGAATGGATGCTGCTCTGCGCCCCTTGGTGAACCTTTCCTGCGCTCGTGGAGCAGCTGAAAAGGACCACTGGTATGTCTGGTTCCTGGTTTGAAAGTGGAGAGTCGACGTTTGTGCCTTGAAAAAGGAGTAGAGAGCGAGTAAGGTACGTCTGTGGCTTATTTTTGAGTGCTCCTCGTACATTTTTGATCGTGATAGAAATTCTCAGACCAAAGTCAGACCAAAGTCAGCGCGATGATGGCCGTACAGTTTTCTTGTGGATTTTTTAGTTGTTTCATATCGTATCTATGTCAGTATCGTGATGGTGAAGTGGAGAGGGTGATTTTCTTCCTCTAGGCTTCGTTCGGCCGACTTTGCTTCGTCCTAGTTGAAAAGTGATCCTGAAAAAAGGTCGATTCGCAAAATTATGTTGATTTTCAATGTACGTGGTGACATGCGATTGCTGGCTATGATTCAGACTTTCTTTCATTCTCTCTTTTCTCACTCTTCAATGTAGTCGTTTCGTTCGTCTTGGTCTCTTGTCTCGTCGTCTATAATAAATGTCGTTCCCCCAACCTACCTGTTCCCGTTGTAATGTCTGGATAATGTGTCGTCAGTCGTCCTGTTTCGAACTCAACACGATGAATGAGTTGTCTTTGTTATTAGTTCGTTCTTCATGAAGTAATGCCGTAGAATCCATCTGGTTTTCAAATCATAAAATTTCTGCATTGCCACGATGTCGCGCTTTCAGAATGGAACGGTGATTGTTCTGACGAAGCGTCATTCAACGACTTGACCGGTCGCAGTATTGCAGTTGCAAGTCGAACAGGGGGGGGGGGGATGTCACAGAAGCTACACCTACAAAGTCGCTGCTAACTTGTTGAAAACTCTGAAGTGCTCGAGAAAAACCCTTGCCATTGCGCTTTGCGTGATTTGGAAATGATGGCTTGAAACACCGTCAGAAGTGTATTTGGTTCCTGCAATAGTCTGTTCTTCGCTACCTCACCTGTTTATTCCGAAGCAACTCCCGTTTGGATTTTCGAAATTTAACAACCAACATCATAAAATCACTAGGAGCTAGCTCGTAACTAGTGCCCAAAAACATTTTGAAACCCAGAAAATGGACATAGTTTACCGTAGCAAAGCATTCCTCACGCTACGGTGTGAGATGCACTTTCGTACAGTAGGGGTGAAAGTGCATGGGGTCAGTGCATATAGGCCAGCAGATCTTGCAAAAATGGGGTGGGCGTTTGCAGCGGACTTTACGGTATATGCCATGGCAAATGCCACGTCGCACGTTGCCGACACGGTAAATGTCACGTTCAATGGCACGGAGAGTGTCACGTCACCTAGAGTACCACGCGTGCATGCACAATGCTGTTTGGCCGACTTCGTCACTGTGAAGTGCAGTGCACACGACCGTAGACAGAAGGAAAGCATGAGTATACAGCAACAGCAAACATAGCAGCATAGTTTGAGCGGTAGCACGAAGCTGCGTGCACCCATTAATCTGCCTAATTATCACCATACTGATACACACACCATTGGACCATTGGACGCCCATCGCCAGAGGCGATGATAGCGATGCTACAGCAGAAGCCATAGCAGCTTGTGCTGGGATGGTACCATTCAACAGCTTGCAAGGCTGAAGAATTGACCACCACTATTCAGCCTGGTCTACACCACACAGGTATGAAGTGGCTTTTCTGGCCAGTGAATCACTACTTTTTTTTCACGCACACACATCACACCATATACTCCGGCATGCACTGGCTGTTGGTAACCACCCAGGAGAATGAAAGAAAAGTCAGGAGGAGTCTGAGAAAGAGAAGAAAGAAGTGTGTGACCATAATCGTCCGGAATCGAACCCGCAACCTATCGATTGGAAATCGCTGCACATACCACTGCACCATATGGGACACACACACACACACACACACACTTGTACTTGTGCTTGTTGCTCACTGCCAAAACTGGTCACGTGGGTCTCCCCGGGAGAGGGAAGAGAGACTCAAAAGGAATCTTGGAAAGATGACTCAATTGGCTATTGAACCGCCCAACAGCCGACACCCCCTCAAATCCCCAAAACTCTGGGTGGACTTGAAAATGATCCCACTTATGGGCTCACCACACCTCAGTAAGTGGGTAAGGACAAGGTGCAGAAAAAGGATTGACGGCATCAGAGTATACGTCCTGGGATCCAACTGCAGTTACCCCTGACCCCAGTGAAGGTAATACTTGCTACTAGTGTGGGTGACTAAATCAGAGTGGATCTGATATAAGCTTCACTAGCACCATTGATTACCGAACTAGCTGACACACATACACACACACACCCGCGCGCTCGCGCGCCCACGCACCTGCAGACCCAAATTTGCATTGTGGCTTACCTCTGGTCTAGAAGGACTCTATCTGCGAGAGGAGATGTTCTCTTTGAAAGCACTGATCGAAGTATGTCAGTTAGACTATGAGATGAGCCAACCGTACACAAAGTCTAAAGAAAAGCAGCAGATGTATAACACAGAAACACACACACATACACACGAACCCGCAATCTATCGATTGGAAATCGCTGCACAAACCACTGCACCATATGGCACACACACACACAAACACACACACAAACACACATACACATAACACACACACACACACACCATTTTACCATTTGACGCCCATCGCCGGAGGCGATGATAGCGAATGCTACAGCAGAAGCCATAGCAGCTTGTGCTGGGATTGCACCATTCAACTGCTTGCAAGGCTGAAGAATTGACCGCCACTATTCAGCCTGGTCTACACCGCACAGTTATGAAGTGGCTTTTTCTGGCCAGTGAATCCCTACTTTCGGGTCTTTATCTTTTTGCTTTTTTTTCACACACACACATCACACCACATACTCCGGCATGCACTGGCTGTTGGTAACCACCTAGGAGAATGAAAGAAAAGTCAGGAATAGTCTAAGAAACAGAAGAATGACGTGTGTGACCATAATTGTCGGGAATTGAACCCGCAACCTATCGATTGGAAATCGCTGCACATACCACTGCACCATATGGGACACACACAAACACACACACACACACACACACACACACACACAACGCATGACTGCATGCACACAAACATGTACGCGCACACGCACGCACACACACACACACACACACACACACACACACACACACATATAAACTACAACAAAATGCGACTTGAGCTACGAGGGAGTGCTGGCCAGCGGAGTGAGAGGCTACATAGAGAGAGATTCAGGGTCGGCAGGGTGGACACTGCCGGAGAAGAATCCACGAGAGACTTGTCAACTGCCGGAGCAGGATCTTGGCAAAGCCAAGAGAGTCTAGAAATGTCAGCAGGACGATGACCCATAGCCCTGAGTATCCGGAAATGAGCGTGGCCAACACCCCTTAGCGCTTGCACCCGAATGCATCAGAACAGTGTATAGGAAATGGGAGAGCCAAGTGACTACATGCAATGGAAAGTCACAGAGCAAAGCTGCATGCATACCCACGTATTCTCACAACACCGCACAAGGATGATTGGGGTACACCAGTGTGCTGGTTTCGATCAACTGGTGAAGCGATTGGCGTTGCAAACAGCCAAAGTGATCGCTCACGACTGAGCCGCAGCAGTACCCGCGACCGGGTGCAAAGTTCCCTGATCGACGTTGCAAACAGCCAACCAGGGTGAAGCAGTTGGCGTTGCAAACGGCCAAAGCAATCGCTCATGCTTGAGCGGCAATAGTACCCACGACCGGGTGCAATGACTACTGATTGGCGTCGCAAACAGCCGACCAATAGTATGCAATTTTAAGCAGAGATAGTAGCAGCAAAGCAACCAGTTGAAGGAAGCTGTTCCCAGAAAACCAGCACACGGCACCCCAGCAAGCGTTCACCACCAATGCACGAGAGCTCAGAACAAGTGAATTAAGGCACGAGATGGATAAAGGTAGGCATGCAGATGGATGAAATCCAACGCAGGTTCTCAATACGACAATTTAGCAATGACAATCGGTACCTGTATGTCAAGGCTATATTGCATCGACTGGAATGGCAGCACTGCTTGGTCTGGTTGTGCTTGAGCAGCTGGGGCGAGACGCCGAAATTCCTCCATGCGGAAACGAGACAGCGAATCGGCAATGCAGTTAGACTGGCCAGCAATGTGAGCAGCAGCGACGGTGAAATTGAAGCGAGCGCACACAAAGAACAGCTCCCTGATCAGGGTCATCACTGGCGGTGACTTGGATGTGCCGGAGCGGATGCAATCTACCACAGCCTTGTTGTCACAGTGCATTGTGATACGAAGCTGGCGCCATTCCTTGCCCCACGTGCAGCACGCTGTGACCAACGCGTAGAGCTCCTTCCACTCAATGCTGTGAGCGAGTTGCTCAGGCGACCAGGTCCCTTGAAGCCAGCGGCCGCTGTTGAATGCGCCCCAGCCCAGGGTGCCACTGGCATCAGTGAACAGCTCCAAGTCTGGAGATGGTGTCCAATCTGGGAACAGGAAGAATGATTTTCCGTTCCATTCTTCCAGGAGCCCTAGCCACCATTGGATATCTTCCTGGCACTCGGTAGTCAGACTGATGCGGTAGTGAGGCTGCTGGTAGCGACTGCAAATAGACCACAGGCGCCGCATAAATGTCCGACCGGGTACGATGACTCTTGCAGCGAAGGAGAGTTTCCCCAGAAGAGATTCGAGTTCGAGGGAGACATGGTAGGGTTGATGCTCGCAGCAGTCAACAGGCGCTTGATGTCAGCCAATTTGTCGTCAGGGAGCCGGGCTTCCATCTTCTCACAATCCAGGATAATGCCCAGGAATGTCAGGGTACGAGACGGGCCTTCCACCTTCGCAGGCGCGAGCGGGACTCCGAGGTATGAGAATGCACGGAGAAGAATGGCCAGCTGCCGATTCGCCACTGCCTGGCCCACGCTCACGCACAAGTAGTCGTCCAGGAAATGCAGCAATTTAGGGATGGAGAATTCGTGGTGCATTATCCATTCGATGGTGGCTGCCACTGCATCAAATACCGCTGGGCTAGAGCGAAGCCCAAATGGCAAGACACGGTCGTAGTAGTACTTACCCTGCCACAGGATGCCTAGGAGATGCCAATCCTGTGGGCGGACAGGTATTTGACGAAAAGCGCTCTTCACATCGAGTTTAGAGAGATAGACAGGAGACGGGGAGGACATAATGATGCTAATGGCTTCATCAATGCTGATGTACTGCAAAGAGAAAGGTTCGGCAGGGATCCCGTCATCAACGCTGGAGCCGGCAGGGCTGGACAGGTGGTGTATCAAGCGTAGCTTGCCATTCTTTTTCGGAACGGCGCCAATGCCAGAGCAGTACATAAATGAGAATGGGGGCGAGTCAAATGGGCCAGCCGTGTAGCCGGCGTTGCAGGAAGCGGTGAGCTGTGCAGACACAAATGCAGAGTGCTGGAATGCTGATGAGAGGTTGGACTAGTGTTGGTTAGTTATGCGGTTGCCGGTAAAGCCAATGTCAAAGCCGCAGCGGAGGCCGTTAATAACATACGAAGCCAATGAACTGTCAGGGTGGTTACGAAGCAGTGATTCGAAGCGAGAAACAGAGAGGGCGTGTGGACAGCAGGACATGCGCTTGTGAAATCAGTAGAACGTGAAGTGCAGGGAGAAATATGTACAATCGCGGGAGCTGCAGCCAAAGCAGCACAGTTACTGGCGCCTACCGCACTTAGATCCGTTGTGGTCCTTGGACCCGCAGCGGGTGCAGACATGGGCGTACTTGCACGTGCTGAGACTGCAACGCCCAGCGTTGAAGTTCCGGCAGATCGGTTGGCCATTAGACACCGTACGGACCCCATTGAAGGCTTGCTGGTTGTTACGTTGTGGACGAAAGGGACACTGGCCGCCTCCGGGATGGACGAGGCGGCAGGACTCACATGTGGGCCTTGATTGGCTAGTCACGGACATTTGCCACAGATTGATGTCGATGACGTCAAAGCGCTTGCCTGGCTGAGCAGAAATGGCAGAGCGAAACTGGGTGTCGTACGACAGCCAAGCCTCCGGATAGTATTGCCTGTTGGCTGCAACAATGGTGGCTTGGTATGAGAGCATCTCCTGCAGGCGGGTTGGCAGAACACACGATGTTCATGAAGAGAGTCCATGCCTCCAGCCATGTCGGCAAGTCGTGGACGCGTCGACGAACGGGCTGGGCAGCTCCACCTTCCACCACCTGTATACCAAAACATAAATACGCACCATAGCAGCAGCACCAGCAGCAGCAGCAGCAGCAGCGGGGAAAGAGACACCTACAATACGGAGGATTAGCAAGACGAAATTCGCATTCGTGTTCACGAACATTTTTCGGTTCGCAAACTGGATTGCAAACTTTCGCATTTTTCGTTTGGAAAAGTAGTCGAAACACAAATCGCGGATTCGTGTCAGGACAGTCATCAATTTACAATGCCGTACTGTCTGTGAGCAATGTACGACGTGTCAACGTCATGCATGTGTGAATTCTGTTTGCTAATCCTTCTCAATGCAAAATTCCATTACTGAGTTCGACTTTGCTTGGAGTGCGAACACGAACGCGGATTCCGTCTTGCTAATTCTCCGTAGTGTCATGATGTCATGATAGAAGAACAGTTACAGCCTGGTACATGTAGATAGAAAGCTTTTCCAGTTCTCAACGCTAGTGCTCAAAGGAATACACCGAGTACTCGAGTACACGCTCGCTGAGTACTTGACTTGAATTCAAAAGGGGCTCGATACTCGATAGCATACACGTATAGTAGAGGAATGTATGCTGTCATGACTTTTTTGTGCAGCACAAACTGACAAAGTCTATTTATGTAGTTCCTCTCGACGAAGTCAGAGCCAGGCGCGTACGCAGGGGGGTTCCCGTTGCCCGTAAACCCCCCAAATGTTCCAAACGAGCAACGTTTTTGGGCATTTATTGGTAGGGCGCATGATCGATCTGGCAAGAATGCAAAACTTCAAAAGATCGTAACTCAGTCAAATCTCGCTCAAATCCAACGATCCAAATATCCAGGTCGAATAGAAAACTCTCAGCTGTCGGTTGAAACAATTTGTGAAGCGCTGCGAGCAATGTATCGTGAGATAAATCATTCGTAAATTGAGCCGCGATCTTGGCAATTTCAAAAGCGCGCAGTGCGACTTGAGTATCGAGAATTTGAGATTTTCGTCGCGCTGATTTGCTCAAATTTGCAGGGGCTTCCCTTGTGATATTTTCAAGAGTACACAGGAAAAAGTCGAAACTCTGCGATCAAGAAAAACGAAATCGCTGGAGCAGGACGCGTTTGGGCCTGTTTGGGGCATTTTTCGCACCGTCGCTGCACTCTACCGCTATAGCCTATAGCGCTGGATATGTATATGACTGTACTGTGTCCTGGCTATGATGGTCGACCTCATTCTCTCCCTGATACCTTTCCACTTCCAGGAAGCCCAAGATACTGAAGATTCAGTGAGTAGAACTGAAGTTATGATCCAAACAACACGAAAAAATGCATAATTTTGAAAATTTCCTGCGGCTCTTTAGGAAGGGTTAAAACTAACACACTTACACACACTTTGTTACTCGTTGTTTGGGATTCGGTTGGAAACCCCCCTAGAGGTGACCCTGCGTATGCGCCTGAGAGCTGTGCCTCTATTACTGGAAGTGTTTAGGTATGTAGATGCAAGTGAAAGAGAGAAAAATCAGTCCGAGAGATGTCACTGACTTTGGGCGAAACTTGACCTACCCTGTACAATGAACATGTGTGCTCAATTTGAAGCTAAAGTTGGCGTGCTGGGAATGTGCACATTAGAGCGACTAGGTTGTGTTATAGGGTACTCAACTCGATAGTGGCACTACTCGTTCGATAGCATAGAGTGCTCGTTTGAGCACTACTCAAAACCTTGGCAATGTACATTTAGATACTTGGTCAGCGTCAGCAATATTGTCGCTTATCTTTCGACAATTTGAAATTAGACTTTGGACAACAACGTGTGCACTTGAGGTGATAAAACGTGGTACGATAGAAGGTAAGGTATAGAATGACAACTAGCCATGAGGAATGTATTGTCCAAGGAAGTGTTCATACTTTTGTTGGTCCTCCTCCTCGCTGCTCTCGGCTCTGGATTGCTCTCTCGCTTTTGCAAGCTCATCTCTATTCCTCTCCGCTGCCTGGCTACTTTCTAAAGGGAAGTCGATCGTGACGGTTGCCTTCTCTATATGACTTCGCGTGGGCAACACGACTACCTGTGTGGTTCAAATCAGTCGCCGTTCTTTGCAAGATTTTATATTGAACGACGACGACGCGTACAGTACTGAGTAAATCTCCACGGGCGCTGGATACCCCGAGCGTTGAGCTGGAGGTGAGGGAACTACGATCTCAGCTTGTCGAGCGATCCCCGAGGTGAGCCTTCTCAGCCGTTTTGCAAAATGGAACTGATTTCGAGTATAGTAGCCGATTACTTTATTGTGCGTCGCGCTGCTCTTACCTGTGCAGTGTGACAAGAAAATATATTTTATGCGGCGTGGTATCAATCAGAATCACCCACCCGTCGCTCTCGAAATCAACTCCAAATCTAGCTAGACCTTTCAGGTACTAGTAAACTAACTTACTAACCAATAATGGGATGAAATGGGCTGCCAAGTGAGCATCCCCGACATATAAACCAAGCTGAAAGATAAGCGACAATAATATTGATGACGCGGACCAAGTAGAATCTTTCTCACTACTCAAAACCTTGGGGGTGTACACGTACTCTGGAGCTGGACGCCAGATGGGACGCAAGGCAAAGAAGGACGCATACATCACGCTGAAGGTTCCTAAGGACACCTTTCCCGGTCCCTACCATGCCGGCTCATTAATCCCTCAAAGAGTGAGATTGGCATAGTCTCCAAGTCCATACTCGATACCGCTCTAAAACAGCTCCGCCCCCAGCTGCAGATCAATGCATGGAGGAACACGGCAGTGGTGATAGAGTGGTTCACAAGTACAGTCAACTTGGCTAATAACGACTGCGGATATAACGACAATTCGCGAATAACGACAGAATTTCCATGCCCAGAGCAAAGTCCCATCTAACTGTATACATTTAATTTCGGATACAACGACTATCTGAATAACGACAATTCGTGAATAACAACAAGCTTTTAGTGCCCCGAGGTCATATCCACTGCTTGAATAACGACTTTCTGGGCTTTTGACAGCTACTTCAAGTACCTGTCATGCAGAAGTACCAGAACCCATGGCGATGGATAAAGGTACACATGCAAGAAGATGCAGCCAAGGGGGGTGGGGGGTGCTTTTATTATTGTTACTTTTTGCTTCTACATGTAAATACATGCAGTTGTAGTGATCGGCACAGCTACATATACATGTAGTTGTATGGTGTACATGATTGTACAGTAATCATCATAATTATATGTACAGTACATGTCCCTGTATACGTACAGTACATGTCCCTGTATATGTACAGTACATGTCCCTGTATACGTACAGCACATGTCCCTGTATACGTACAGTACATGTCCCTGTATATGTACAGTACATGTCCCTGTATACGTACAGTACATGTCCCTGTATACGTACAGTACATGTCCCTGTATATGTACAGTACATGTCCCTGTATATGTACAGTACATGTCCCTGTATACGTACAGTACATGTCCCTGTATATGTACAGTACATGTCCCTGTATACGTACAGCACATGTCCCTGTATATGTACAGTACATGTCCTTGTATATGTACATGTAGATGGCTCCAAAGGCCAACTTTTCAATCTATTTCCCTTCCATATTGACTTTATAGTTCCTTTCATTTGTAATATGAAAATAAAGTACACTTTGACATAGACCATGAAAAGAGATTCGTTTTGATATGCATATCATACTATACAACAATATGGGTTCACATACATTCAAATGGGACTTCGGGTATAAGGACACTTTGCGAATAAGGACACTTTTCGGATGCCCCGCCGAATGTCGTTATTCGCAAAGTTGACTGTACACCAGAAAAAGAAAAGTACATATTTGTGTGCTTTGACTGTGTTGATTTCTACCCCTTAATCGATTATACCGGATACTCGAAATAGATTTCGTTACAAGCTAACAAATTGATTATTGGAAACGTTTCGATTACTCAATTGTGCATACAGTATACATGATTATACACGTATGATTGTAGATAGACCAATGTGCGAGGAAAAATTCTCTTCTCCCCAGGATCTATTTTAAAATTCTAAATTTGTAAGTTAATTTTCGCATTTTCAGCTTCTAATATGGCTTTTGTCTGTACGAGAAGAAACAATCGAAAAATTAACCAATAACCGATCGATAGTGGTTCAGGTTATTCCGAACTTATTCGATAGTCAAAAAGCGTAATCATTTCACCCCTACTGTTTTCTGATGATCGCTTAGTGCGTGAAACTCGGAGTAAAACACTTTTTCATCCTCCTAATATTGTTGTAGTGTAAACGTAGATAGAGATCAGTACCAGTGCTTTCAACTTGCTGGGATCATCGGGTACACTGACACTAAACCCAACCTAAATCATGCATTTTGAAGTGGTGTGAGCCAGGAAAATTCATGCTGACATGTACCAGCGGTGCTGATGGCGACAGCAGAGGCAGTTTAATGTAAGGGTCACTGACCTTGGGCCGTCCTTGCTGTCTCGTCCGGAAATCCTTAGTCACCTGAGAACACACGGGAGAATGAAGAAGGCGGCGTATGGTGCAAGAGTAAACCAGGTGGAGAGAGCATCATTCACCCCACTGGTGTTTTCGGCCTCGGGTGTGGCGGGCAAGGAAGCCACTATATTTCTGAAGTCGCTAGCTGCTTTGGTTGTAGACAAAAACAAAGACTTGGTATATTCTGCCGTGATGGGTGAGTTACGCACCCGGGTTTCGTTTTGCCTGCTGCGATGGACAGTCACGTGCTTTAGAGGGTGCAGGGCCTCTTACTAGGGAGTTCAGTCACGTGACAAATCAGCTGAAAACAGCCTTCACGCGGGTCACGTACATTAGCATGGTAGCGGTGGCACCATGGACTGCGCTGCAGTTTTTTTCGAATTACTTTGTCCTGCTTTCTTTTTCAAAGCTGAAAGTTGGTGCGTTTGATAGCTGAGGTCTTCCTGCTCGTTTTGGTGCTGCACTTGCTTGGGCAACTGTAGTTTGAGCTTTTTGTTGTGAGGAGTGTAGTTTTCAATTGGATTTTTCATCCGTTTGGAGGGAGTTCACGGCCAGGGAACACCCACCATCGTGTTCAGCGACCTCGAATTATGTAGAATATTGCTTTCTTCTCGAGCTGGGGAATCGCTCTTGATCGCGCTTTCAAGACGTTCACCTCCTGGTCGCCCGAAATGAATGAATTTCTGGACCCAATATGTTCAAGCGCTAGGAGTGTTTCAGATGATTTGTTGGCCCTAGTGAAAGATTGCACCTGACGGAGACTTTCGCTATTGCGACAAAGTGAGCTATGTTTTTGTATTCGACTCGTCGCCTTGAAACCAGAAAGAAATTGCTATGGAGTGGTGCTCTGACATGGATCGCGTCAGTGATTGGATTGTACGCGTATTTCACTATTGTGCATTTTACATGTAAAATGTACATGTACATGATTGATCAACTGTGTGACTGCCGCAGTAAATTAAAGTTGGGCATCTGAAGACTAAACTGCTGTATTTATTATTTGTACATGTATAATACAACCATAGCAATCAATGCTCACTTCAATTTCATAGTAATGGAACTCATGTTCAATGGATTTAGCATTGTTGCTATGGTGGTTGCTACGGGCGCCGCGCTCGTTCTCATTGGTCATCGCTTGCCGAAATATTATATTTTGGTCAACATTAGGACTAACTAACCTGTATTGCACCCATAATTATTGCACCTATATTGCACCTACAAGCCAGATTTCATAGCATTCTGACAATATTGTAATGTTGCTAAGCGCTTGCTAGGCTTTCCGGAAAACCCTGTTGGTGCCACATCAGTATGGCATTCCGCATACATCATGATGAAGGTTGGCGTATGACTTTGACGCCTCATATCTCTGGTATCCTTCAAGATTTTTCATCCAAATTATCTGTGCTATCTCCTGTACTGTAGTTCTTCCCGAAAACAAACAGTATTCTTGGTTTACTACGAAAGAAAGAAATACGGTGATATCCCTACTCTTACATTCGCTGCATGTTCGGGAGCCCCATTGCAGCATATTGCCGCCAGCTGTGCTGACACGGGCAGAGGCGTGACTTCGCCTTTGCATGCCGCTAGGCAATCTTATTAGATAACGATCTATTGTGCAGCTTCTGTGTTCAATCTTACATTTCAAATGAGTGTTCTATTTATTTCCGAATTTGGGTTGTCTTTTTGCTTTGACTCTTACTTCATGGTTTAACGCGATTAGCCCAATTGGTGTTGTGAATAAACCCGTTCTCAAGCAGCAGCTGTGTTGGTGGTGACAGCAGCAGAGCCGGCGACGCTGGTGGCTTAGGAGAGTAGGAGAGTGGGAGACTAGGAGAGTGGGAGACTAGGAGAGGTGCTGGCGGTGACAGCAGCACTAGCGGCAATGCTGGTGGTGACAGCAGCAGTAGGGCGGTGCTGGTGGCGACACCCGCAGCAGCAGCGGTGATTTGGTGGTGACAGCAGCAACAGTAGCGGCGGCGCTGATACCAACAGCTAGCTTGACCTTGATATTTATCCAGTGATAAATTTAGCAGCATTCATGTCCAGGTAACTAGTTGTGTATTTGTACAGCTATGTTTCAACCTCACCTTTCTTCCAAGTCCATGTCTGAATAAATCCGTGAACCCGCTAGAAACCTATCCTCTTCAACAGATGTAGCATTTGAAGGTAGAAATAGCGAACTGCGGCATCCCTTCATGACTACGTTATTTATGGACTATGCGCCACGCTTCAATAACCGGCCGGCCTGTTCTGATCACTATGTTCTGGTCACTTAGAGGCAAAGAGTAAGATTGTGCAAATAAATTCTAGCTTGCTTCGCCACAAATAAATTTTAACTTGCTTCGCCGAGGAAACGCTTGCAGTGTAGATACTCAGGATGACATAGTCTGGTCGAAGGCAGGAAACAGCACGACGACAAGCCTCTGGCTCTACTCCTAGTCCTACCGCCATACTACTGATACTACTACTACTACTAGTAGAAGTCTGCGCCAGTAGATTCTACGAGCGATTTTCTGCATCCGCACTCATGCCATGGCCTAGTGATAGTATTAGTAGTGTGACTGTCTGTGTAGTCAGTCCGTTGATCTACGTGAGTCAAGCACGGCGCTCAGCTCCGCCAATCCATGCTCTTTGAGTCTTTACTTCTTGACTTTAGTTTTTACTTCTCAGCTTTGCTGCTAGCTCGGCGTAGCCATGGTAGCTGTGCTCGCTGTGCAGGTCTGTGTGAGTCACTGTGACCAGGTGACTGTCCGCAGAGCTAGAGCTGTAGTGTCTACCAGGTCTACGTAGTGGGCATGATTACAGTATGGGTTAGTGCGCAGATCTACGCTTCCGCATGTCCCGCTCAGTGCAGCTGCGAGCTCACCAGGTCACCACCGCGACCTGGTGAGTCACTGACTGGTGTCGGTACGGTAGTGGCCGAAGCATGCATCTACTCTCACACACGCACTCTCCGCTAGCGCTACGCCTATGCATCGCATGTGCTTGGGCAAGTATTAGTTGGGGAGCTTGGTTTTTTCAGGCTTCGATTGAGTCACACTGCAGTGTCTGTAACCATGGTAACACGGTAACCAGTACTTTGAGTTTTGACTTCCGCTCCTGGAAGCGAAGGCCAGATCCCCCCAGCCAGGGCCAGACCCAGGCTGGACCCAGGCTAGAGATTCATGACCACACGCACAGACTCAGTGATAGTCATGTACTGATGTAGTCATGTTGTACAGTTGTAGTTGTACCATGGCATCATGTATACTGGGCTAGGCAGTCTCCAGTCTGGCCATGGCCCAACATGACAATCATGTCGACAGTCAAGTCAGCAGCGACTCCCTGGCGGAGCGACTCGCAATATTCCCCAGTACACCGCCAGCCAATGACTATGTGGATGCACTGCATTGCGATATTGCACCCGGGCGAGTGAGCGTGCAAATAACCTATATTTGCACGCTCACTTCGAAGCGAGCGTGCAAATATTGAAATAACCTATATTTGCACGCTCGCTTCGAAGTGAGCGTGCAAATAGGTTATTTGCACGCTCACTCGCCGGGGTGCAATATAGCACTGCAGTGCATCCACATAATCATTGGCTGGCGGTGTACTGGGGAATATTGCACGCTCAGTAAGGCCGCTGATTGGCTCAAACCATGGAGACACTCACGTGGGGTGCGATAACAGAATGTACTGGATGGTGGCAGTGTTGCCTACCGCCCGCATTTGTATTTTTACGGAAATACGAAGTTTTGTCCGCAGTATGGATTGCGCAAACTATCGTGTATGATAGATTACTAAAACCTTTGTGTTGGGTTCAGTCAGACAAGACAACATTGGTGCTAGTTTCAGTTCTTGTCCAAAACAAACTCAAATCAAATATCCGAATCCAAAAACCTAAACAGTGTACGAAAACAGCGATCACATGAAAGATCCGCTCACAAAACATGCCTAAAACACAGAATAATAAAAAAGAGACCCATGACGCATAATGTACACAGCACATACATGTACATGTACATGACGTTACATTGTATAAGTAGGTGGGAATCACACTCCTGTGATCACAACACTTTGTAACTCCATCGTTTCTTGTGAAAATTCAACACTCGAAGGGTATACGTGGTAGCGAAACCTCCAAGCTATCCAATGCAACAATCGCCGAAGAGTGACGATGTTGGATTCCAGAGATATCGAGCGCCGTGTTTCGATATTCTTACCTCGGCAAATCCTAATTTTTGATCGATCTCTTCGTCATGTTTGGAGAAAATGCCTTTTTGCATGCTCTTGGAGCGACTGAGCACATCATAATGACGTAACCGGTTGAAGTCTGAATCGCGTCGAAAACATTTCAGCGTTCTGTGATGAAGGAGAGTGGAATGGTGTTGATGGGACAAATATGCTTGCATATTATGCTTGAAGATGACTTTGCTGTGTTACGGCGCCTGATTTGTGGCAGCTTCATAATGGAGCTTGGTATCCTGGCGTTGCTCCTGCCAAGAGCTTTCCAACGAGCCCTAGATTGTGAAAATCAAGCGAAGTAGACCACGGTTATGCGGACCTGGTGAGGTTGAAAATTGTACTGTATTCAGGTTGAAAAATTTACTGAATTCGTAAGGTTGAACATTGTACTGAATTCAGGTTGAAAACTGTACTGAATTCGTAAGGTTCACAAGTGAACTCTGTGACTGGAAAAGAAGTTGTACAGTATCTCGTTTGATTCTCCAAATTACACTCCAAATCAGTCAAAATGTTTACCCAAAAAACGAGTACGCAAAACTGAAAAATGGCACTGGCAATACGCTTGGGGGTAGAGCGCACTTGGTAACACTGTGGTGGGTATCGTGGGCATTGGAATGTATTGTGGGCATCTGAATGAATTATTTGTGGGAGGCATCTGAATGTATGGTGGGCATCTGAATATATGGTGAGCAACTGAATGTGTGGTGGGCATCTAAATGTCTGGTGGGCATCTGAATGTATTGTGGGCATCTGAATGTGAGGTGGGCATTGGAATGTATTGTGGGCATCTGAATGTGTGTCAGGCATCTGAATGTACATGTATGGTGGCCATCTGAATGTGTGGTAGGCATCTGAATGTGTGTTGGGCATCTGAATGTATGGTGGGCATCTGAATGTGTGGTGAGCATCTGACTGTGTGGTGGGCATCTGAATGTACATGTATGGTGGGTATCTGAATGTATGATGGGTATCTGAATGTGTGGTGGGAATCTGAATTTGTGGTAGGCATCTGAATGTGTGTTGGGCATCTGAATGTGTGCTGGGCATCTGAATGTGTGCTGGGCATCTGAATGTGTGCTGGGCATCTGAAGGTGTGGTGGGCATCTGAAGGTGTGGCGGGCATCTGAATGTGTGGTGGGTATCTGATTGTATGGTGGGTATCTGAATGTATTGTGGGCATCTGAATGTGTGGCGGGCGTCTGAATCGATGGTGGGCATCTGAATTTGTGGCGGGCATCTGACTGTATGGTGGGCATCATAATATGTGGTGGGTATCTGAATGTGTGGTGGGCATCTGAATGTATGGTGGATATGTGAATGTATGGTGGATATGTGAATGTATGGTGGGCACCTGAATGTACATGTACATGACATGGTGGGTGTTTGCGCCGGTATTCTCACTCACAACCAGGGAGTAGTAAAATACAGGGAGGTGACACGCCACTAATCGTGATTTTTGATGGGTGCCTCGCGCTTGTTTTTTTTCTTTCGCAAAAAAAGATGATCTGCTGAATCAATCTTGAGTATTTGTCGAAGAACTGATCCGTGAAAAGGTCTATCCATCTCATGGAACAGCATTTGTTTTGCTCTTGTGATACATCTGTGTCATCGTCATATGGAAAGGTACCACCCTTCCGAAATTCGTCCCGATCGACGGCATGGAGCAATAGAACGAAGGTGATTTCCTTGAGAACAATACGTGTACGATTGGAGATGAAAAACGAGTGCACCGATTTCGAAGTCGAAAAAATCTCTAGGACACCACACGATCGGCACTAATTTCTCCTCAGTTGTGATCAACCAGTACTTCTCTACCTTCTTTGTGATGATGAGCATTTCATATTATGGTATGCTAGAGATTCGGGAGTTCACTTTTCGGAATGAAATGTTCCTAAGTTTGTCAAGGATTGAAATGCGGGCTACGTCGTCGTAAACAGCTTGTATCGACACAGGAAAAATCTACGGCACGCAGGGATATCTCCCAAAGTGATACCACTCTTGCTGGACTTCTATCCTGACATAGTGGTAGTTTGGTCGACTACCAAACTTTGTGAAGGCAGACAATTGTTGGAAATTCTCAGCGCTGAGTTTCTACGGGCTGCAGTAGGAGCCTCTTTGGCGGTAGGTATTTTACTACTCCCTGATCGAGAGAATCCTGATTCGCGCGCGTGTCTACACACTTCGGTACCCATAGTACCCCAATCTCACCCGCCGGGTGAAAACGGTGCTGAGGCAATCGTCAAACTGGCCGTACATGCTCGAGTCACCTCCCTGTATTTTACTACTCCCTGCTCACAACACAGAGTCTGAGGTTTATAGAATATTTTCACTAGGAGAAGACTGTATCCATTGCAAACTGATTGCAATACTTCAAAATGGCTAGCTACTACCTGGTAGTAACAGAATCAGCCAAAGAGAAAGAAAACCACAACCACCACTCGGATTGTGCCAAGCAGGTAACAACAAAGAGCAAACTAAACTCAGAACCAAAACCAAAACAACAACTGCACCAGCAAGCTCTTTCCCGGTACTAACTACAAATACATCAAAATCAAGCAGCAAAATGCAAATCCGCACGCGTGTTTGCCGGAACTGAACCTCCGTAGCGCAGCTGATCATTGCGGCTGCACGGGACGACCTTCCCGCCACAGTAGGGCAAAGAACTATGCATGGAACTAGCAATGAATGCATGCAGCACACCAGCAAGCTGTCCCTACGCAGACGTCTAGTCTAGCGTGAGCAAGGATGAATAATTGAATAGCATGAGAAACATGATATGACACATTGACTCCTATGATGCATGCAATGTATACAACAAGAAGCTACAGGTCATGCAACTGTGCACAACACTTCAAACCAGCGGGTGTAGTATGAAAGGCAATGCAGCAGTTATGAATAGGGACATCAACAGGACACAACACACAGTAGTCATGAGCAGGCTGAGGTAACCATGGTAACTGAGGACCGGGGAACAGTACAGACATGTGCACAACAGCACCTAGGTTTACTACTACCCAAGGTTATGTACTCCTACTACTTTAGTTATTCATGTCTTGGTCTAACTGAGCAAGTTACTAGTGGAGATCTGCGGGGTGACTTTGTCGTACCAACAGTGGGTATGTGAATGTGTGGTGGGCATATGAATGTGTGGTGGGCATCTGAATGTATGGTGGGTATTTGAATGTCTGGTGTGCATCTGAATTTTGGGGGGTATCTGAATGTTTGGTGGGTATCTGAATGTACATGTATGGTGAGCATCTGAATGTGTGTTGGGCATCTGAATGTGTGTTGGGCATCTGAATGTGTGTTGGGCATCTGAATGTGTGTTGGGCATCTGAAGGTGTGGTGGTCATCTGAATGTGTGG